ATTCTTCATTAGAATTTGTAAATTACAAGAAATTCTGATGAAAGTTGAAGCATATCACTTACATCCTTTGCTTTGTGAAATTATTTATTCTTATTTAAACTTCTGTCAACCAAAGGTTTAAGATATTTATAAACCGTGAGAGGATACAAATGTCAGTGCAACTTCCTATTATGTATTTTGAAATAAATAACTTAAGATTTATATTCAAAGGAAAAAAATGCAAATGAAAAGTCAAACATTGAAAGGAAGCTCTGCTAATACCTGATGCTCTTGCTAAATGGTTACGTTGTACTTCAGTGAGATTGCTCACATGACGTCAAGTTCATCAAAATAAAGAGTTTTACAAGTTTTGGGAATCATTTCTCTTATAATGAGCTACAGCAATGCTAACTTGTGCCTTCATTCAGAACCATGGTGATTCATGGCTATTCCTCATTCTTCAATTTTAATGTACTATTTAAGGTATTTATTTCAAGAGAAATAATTTATTCAAATACAAATCTGAAGGCAGGTTAGATATCAACAATGAATGGTTAACTAATGAAGTTCAAATTGCCATTAAATCATTCTTTAGTAGCTGATTAAAAGACAAGAGGAACATTGACCGTGACCGTGGTGTGTAATTGTAATATGAATAACCATAATGGTAGTTTTCTATACACTTTCAAGAAATCAGTTTGTACTATTTCAAGTGTGCTTACACAGTTAATGATGAGACGGATGTATCACATATGCTACATCTTCCCTAATAGGAAAAGTCATTTGCAAGATGATGAAGAAATTAATATTCATGCTCAAATGATAGGTATAAGCAACATGTCATAAACTCTAAAGCTGTGATAAAACGTATATTACATTAATCCTAAGAACTAAAATTAACCATATCACATAACCAGTTGTATATCATATATGAACAGTTGCTTATTATAAATGAGAACCACAAAAGTCTGAAACAGGAGTAAACTTGGTTTTGAATTAAACAGGCAAAAATGCTTAAGGAAAAGGTTATTCCAAAAGGCCTGAAGTGGTTAACAGTCTAACAGGTAATTTGTATCATGACTTTGTTTGGTAATATCTAAGACTAGCAAAATACCCAACAGTTCCTTAGTCGTTGATCACTATAACTCAATAAATTACTTACTTATGTGAAGTTCACAAAATAAATTAAAAATATATATTATATAATTCTACACTAATAGGAAATATCACACTGAAGAAATCAGTCTAAGGTAACTTTATGGTTTTGAAATTAATAATGAGGCCTTACTTACTTTGTTTATAGAAGCTACCTGCACATTAAAAATACTGATAGGATATAGTGCTCAATATTATATTTTTTGTTGATATATACAATATCACAAAGCCTCAGGTTTAGCCTATGAAGGACATTATCAAAATTCCAATACATTTATGAACACAAATAAATCTTTAGTTGCCAATTTTCATTACACTTTTAGATTCTAGTCAGAAAGCATAAATATATATCCAGGAACTTGGGTTACAGTGCTCAGAGGATCTCCAGGAGGAGGACTAGTACGACCACACTCTCCTTGGTGGTTGGCCCAGTCTCGTCTCTGGCAAAAGTCGCTGCAATAAGCTCTGTTGTGGCAGCCAGAGCATTCCAATTCACTCTCCCGATTACAGTTGACACACTGGGGAAAAAAAAAATTTTAGCTTCCAAAATAAAAGATAAGTGTTTTCTATGGAATCCTAAAATTTCACATATTGCTGGAGGTTTGAAGAGATAAAAAAAAAAACTATGTTACATAATAAACTTACTTGCCCTTCAGATTCATTGTAAATAACATCATTATTTACAACAGAAATACCTTTACTGACAAAGAAATGCAGAGGCCTCTTAAAATTGTCGGCATATTTACTAGTAAATATTTTTGGTCACTATGTTAAAGCTGAAAAATAAAAATTATGCTGTAAAGTGAATAGTTTACCAACAGTCCCCATTTTTGTTCTTACCTTTTTCTTGACCCCATTAATAGGCGGTGCTGGCTTTAGCGTAGGAACATTTGATATCAAAGAATCTAGCATTATAGGTTGCAATGACTGATTCCCATCATCATCCCTCACTTGAACCAGGAATCCTTCTGATGGTCTGTCAAGGATAGATCAGAGTTTTTTATTTGACAGGAATCTTGTTAATTTAGTCAGAAAAAAATGGATCCTATACTTTATCGCTGCTATTGCCTAACAACAGGTATTTTCATGAAATAACCATGAATCAAAGTTCAATCAGTATTTCTATTTAAGACATTTTGCCTCAATATGAGGTACAAAAGTAGCAATATTCTAAGTTCTTCCATTAACCTATTGCTAACAAGCATGAAGATTGTTCAATGGCCAACATTCTGGCCTGATGACTGATGTCAATAGGGTTTATAATTTAAAGTATGTTTATTAAGGTGCATTTGATATACCATCTATGAAGTTCAGTATCTGAAATACCACAATTAAAAAAAAAGTTCCATTACTTACTTGGTCATGTTTGATAACTGAGCCTCCAATTTTGCTTGCGTGACTGCTTCATCTTTCTCTTGCAAAAGTTTTCTTCGAAGTTCTAAAGTCTCTTGTTCTGTTCTATCTTTTAATTCTTCAAGTAAAGCTCGAGCTCCCGACACACTTCTCTCTAAACCTAATAAAACCTGAGGGTAAGAAACCACCAAAACCATTCAATACTTAGAAAGAGAGCAGGTCGCAAAGGTCTATGTCAATGATAAGTGAGCTATTTCGCTGTTTCTTTGTCTATCTGCTTTGTAATGCTTCATTAGTCATTAGTTTTACCTTCCAAACAAGTTTATATGCAAAAAAAAAAAAATAATAATAATAACAGAGATTCACTATATGCTAAACACATTTATACTTTTTCATGTTGATCCCTACTTGGAAACTATCAACAATCTCTAGACATGAAAATCCACCACAATACCAGTTTCAAAAACCTTATTAAATTCTTCAGCTTTAAAGAAATAGTTCAGTATTACATTATCTATCAAGGAACCTCCTTCCCTGATACATGGTACTCCCTACAAATTTCTAGTTCCTGCTGAACACCACCAAAACCAATGAAAGGTCTACAAAGTTCTGGACTTTTCACTGTTAGTTTTGTTATTGTCACGGAAAGATATTAAGGGAGATTTCAAAAACCTACCCACAGCGTAATACTTGTAAATATGTTATCTACTTTAAAATCAATCCTAAAGTTCACAGGAAATACAACCTGGCAGTCATGGACAACTGCTGTACTATCTTTGCATCTTGTAATGAACTCCATTGAAAAGGACTAATTAATTATGGCTTTCTTCTAGATAGGTTTCATTAATGTAATCTATATTCTATAATATGAGGTTGGACACTTACATTATATACCTTTAGAAATCAAATGTCTTCGCTTCTGAATAATTAACCATGTCATTATTGTGGACTTCTGCAGGAATCTAGCTTTTAATGGAAATACAATGCAAAATACTAAAATACTCATATCAACAGGATATTAATACAGAAGTATCTCTACCTCATTCATACGATCCCAAGCTTTGTCCAAAGGCAGGTTTGAAAGGCTAACTGGGCAAGGGCTCCCAGCTGAAGAAGGGGCAGCAGTTGCCCCCTGGGGTGTGGTAGGTACTGCAGTGGTTGGGGTCCCTCCTCCAAGAACAATACCTGGCACCACAGTGAGTTCCCCTAATCCAGACACTGGTAAAGTCACTGAGAAAGAAAGATAATTTTTTAAGCTTATATCACAAGATTTATACTGAACATACCCTTAAAACCATACATATGGTTAAGTTTTAGATAACCCTTTAAGAGAAGCAATGTACTGTAGTATCTTATACAAAAATTATATTTTCATGAAATATAAAAAATCTCTTAACTCTTACTCCTGATCAAATGATGCCAGTGAATATGGTATACCTGTTGGTGTGGAAGATCCTGGGTCATCTGACAATGTTCTCTTCAGAACCTTTGCAGCAACTTCCGTGTCAATCATAAACTTATCTCTCTTTTTCCGTCTGTATGGACGGTGAAGACGAACTGCTCCAGCCTGTTTAGCAAAATTGTTTTTATAAGAAAAAATATCTAACAAAAAGAAAAATAATAATGATTTCAGTTAATAAACACACACAAACCTGTGCCTGAGGAACACACACCTTCATAATATACAGCCATTTCTGGCAAGAGATATCTGACATATGTTTATGGCAGACTCCAAAGGAATCTCTATCTCTCTCTCTCTCTCTCTCTCTCTCTCTCTCTCTCTCTCTCTCTCTCTCTCTCTCTCTCTCTCTCTCTCTCTCTCTCTCTCTCTCTCTCTCTCTCTCTCTCTCTCTCTCTCTCTCTCTCTCTCTCTCTCTCTCTCTTAAAGCCAACATAATGTTAGCTTTAACAACCTAAACCACAAGTTAGTATCAGTGGCATAGATTACATAATCAATGTTATAAAGACAGATCCCACATCACTCACCGCAGCATCACCATCTAAGCACGCTCCACAAGAGCAAGAAGTGGCATGAACCTGGAGATATCCTTCCTCTATCAGGGTAAGAAGACTCTGACCCTGAAATCTAAAACAAAATTCTGATCTAGCAACTGATATAAAAAAAAATCATGTGGCAAGAAACATTGTAACCTATAATCCAGAAGGTAAAATATGAGAAATGGTAAAATTCAAATCTATAGAGTTAAGTAGTATATGTTAAATTTCATGTGTCAAATGCAAAAGAAACTACTGACCTATAAGATTCAAATGTCTTAAATTAATCATAAGGATGTACTTTTTATGAACATGTTTGTCAGAACAAACATGTTTATATAAAAGATAGATAGGTAGGTAGAGAGATAGATGGACAGACAGACAGAAAGATATATTCATAATCAGTTATGATATATTCAGTAAAATTCAGCAAAGCAAACATATAAAATATGCAGGAGGAATATAACACAACAGTACTCAAGCACATCTCCAAAATAGTAAAATAACTCATAAGCTTA